TTTTTTCCAAATAATTTCTGAAGTAACATCAATATTTGGATGAAAATTGGTATCTGGGAGTTTTTTGACATGAGAAATTTGATTTTGATGTCATTCTGACTCCTACTTGTAGAGGGCGCCACCTACATATTTCTTAACTGGTGTGAAGACTAATAACTTTTCATCCGTAGCTGTATAAAACTCCTGAGTAAAAAGATAAACATTTACGACGTTTTTTATGCAAAAAAGTTCTCTTCTCGGTAAAAATCGCTACGAGTAATAATGGTACTTGAGATATGTGGAATCTAAATTATAAATATCTTTCATCATTGACATAAATTAAACTGTTGACTATCGACTACTTACTCAACATGTTTATTTTTTGTCAATAATGACGTGTACTGACTATATTTTCAATCTAAATATCTTAAGAACGGTTGCTCGTAGCGATTTATACCAAGAGATCTTTTTTACGTAAAAAACGTCGACAATATATATTTATAATTCAGCAGTTTTATCAGGTACGACCGAAAAGTTATATTATTATTCTTAAACCATTTAAAAAAATGTTGTAGGTGGCGCCCTCTACAAGTAGGAGTTAAAGTCGTAGGAGTCATAATGACATTAAAATCAAATTTCTCATGTCAAAAAACTCCCAGACACTAATTTTCATCCAAATATTGACGTTACTTCAGAAATTATTTGGAAAAAATCGAAATAAAAATTAAACTTCTACACCCTTTATCTCCGAAACTAAGCATTTTAGGACATACATTTAGACGAACTTTTTTACTTATTTTTATCTGCAGAATATGCTGCCAAAGTTTCCGGAATACAGTTCGGACCACCCTGTATATTCTGTGCTAAAAATGATGTTACCATAGAAATACGTTTTGATTTTTAGCACTTTCACACAAAAATTCAACTATATTTTCATATTTGATTTAATTTTTCTCTAAGACGGCATTGAAATTTGGAAAAGTATAAACGGGATTAACCATTTTAGAACAAGCAAAGACTTTTATGAAGAATGTATTTTTCTCAAAAAGTCAATATTTAATACAAAAAAAATCCTCTTGTAAAGACAATCCGGGGACATACTGTATTGTATACAAGGTTAAATAAGATAACACTTTACAAAATAGAAAATCATTGACCACCCACCATGTCTTAAAAAACATGTAATTCTCGCCCACTTTATACATAAATTGAATTATTTAATTTTTATTATCAACTTTACAAAATAGTACAATTCTTAAAACGATTTAGTACAATAATTATTAATAATCTGTTGCTCAAACATCCTCAGCGAATTGGCCTCGTGTTATTTCAGACCTATTTGCATAGAAAAAAATCTACACGTGTATTTTATTCCTGAATATTTAGTACCCCCAAAAAGTAACAATCCGTAACAGTTTAAGTGTCAAAAACGAAAATATACAACACTGTGAAACACATTTTGTTATTGATTGCGTTTTATCTTACGTGGGTGAACGACCTTAGAATATAAACACACAATTATAATTTTCTAAACATTTTTCCGAAAAACTGAACTGGTATATTTAGCTAAAATAAAAATGTTAAGTAGATGTTAAACTAAAAATACATACTAGGTTTTTAAAATTTCTATCAGTAATAGCATAAACATAAAACTCCATTCAGGAGTTGTTATGAATAGATATTATTATGTACACACAATATATACGAATATAAGAACTTAATTATAGCAAAATTATTTAATTAAATGTAAGTTTAAAATGATTCAAGTTCAAGTAGAATTTTGAGTTAAGGAGGGTTTATATGGCTCCGTCATGCGTCGTCCGCTTTCCGTCACAATGATCGTGTTGAGCCTTGGTGTTGAGGTATTACCAGTCATTTTTGAAACAAACCAATTGGGGGTTGTTTTATATATCATTAATGAAGGGTAATAACTATTCTTAATTCTTCCGTACCTGTATTACACTACCGAATGAAAAAATATACATTTTCGCTGTTTCTTGCGTAAAAATCGCTAAGAATGCTTCTCAAGATATTTAGAATTGAAATAGTTAACAAATGTCATCATTGACAAATATTAAATATGTTGACTATATTATTTTTTTTCACCTTATTGGGTAGTGTGTTGTGGAACGGCTAACTAAGTATCAAGAACTCTCACTTAGTTAGCCAAGAAAGATCAGACCATTGATGTTGATTGAAGTATAGTGGCTTGCTGCATTGTTGAGATAATAATTTCAGATAAATTTATTATTTTTAAACTATTCTTCAGATGACTTGGTACTTGTCTAAGCCCGTCGACGTCATAATTATCGGGACCATCACAATTACCTTTTTCATATCCCATATTTTTGGACTTTTTCTGGAAGTTTATTGTATTTCTCTATATTTTCGTGATATTTCTGATGTATATTATTACTTGCAGGAATTGATATATCAATCAGGTAAGTCATTTTTTCCTCTTTATCTACCAGAGTAATGTAAGGCCTATTATGACTCACTGTTCGGTCGGTAAGTATAGTCCTATCCCAGTATACTCTCAGATCCTACTCAACACTGGCCGGCTCATATTGATAATATAGTCGTGTATCTTTCTTAATTCCTGTCTGAGCCAGTAAGTTCTGATGACCTGATACCTGCAACTTGATTATGCCTTTCTAAATACTTTGTTCGTGCTTCGGGCTAATATCCCACAGGCTGATAAAATGTGGTCTATTGTTTCTGGACATTTCTGATATTTTCTGCATAAATCAGATTCCACTGCCTCACCCAGGATATATTTGATATAATTGCGGGTCTTAATTACCTGGTCCTGGATGGCGATGAGAAAACCTTCGGTTTCTGGATTCAGGTAACCCTGAATTGCCCATTGAAGTGATTGAGGAATATCAGTTTCACCTTCGTATAAGAAGCGATAGAAATGCCCGTGTAGCTCCTTTGTTGACCACAATCTGATCTTTTCTCTGGTAGTTGAATCTTCTGGAATTTGTATGTTGCTCCGTTGGTTCTTAACCAAACTCATCTTTGAGTGGGGTGAAATTTTTGTCAGCTTTTACAATTATGCGATGCAGACAGATTCGGTGTTCGTTTTTAAAGGAATACGCTCTTAAGTCACTAATTTGTCGGTAACAAAACTCTTTAATATCTTGAATACCTCTTCCTTCTTGGTTGCGTGGTAATGTATCCTTTCCATGCAGGCCTTAGAGTAATGTTTCCTTGATCGGGTCATAAGAATGCGTATTCTGCGGTTTAGTTGGTGCAGATCGGTGTAAGGGGTCCCGGTAAAATTTTTGCACACAGGCCCGTGAGTCTGTTGTTACGCCACTAATTTCATTATAATTTTTCTAGGAAAACACTCAATTAAAAAAAAAATAAAAGTTAGCATATTACGCATTTCAGCCAAATTATTTTGTAAATGTATTGATTTTCATTCGAAGTATCTTGAGAATTTTACTAGGAGATCTACATAAAAGGCGGACTCTGACGACTCGTGTACTTGGCAAGTATGCCAATATTTGCGTACTTGGCAATTTGCGTACTTTTGTGCAAAAAGCTTGTCGCTCACGCGGTGCGACGAGTGACAAATAATTGCACAAATAAACCGCTCACACGACATGGCAAGTACCTATATGCCAATAACAAATGTTTGTACAAGTACACAAGTACAGAGTCAAAGTCTGCAGTATTTTAGTAGAAAATGTATTTTTTGACTCAGTAGTTTAATCGGACGAAATTCCAATTGCCAATTGCCAAATGGCCAATTCTAAACAATAGTATAATTGTTTTATTAGGAGTGAAAATGATACTTTTTGTGACGAAGCTGTACGTTTGACAACATTACAGGTGAGGCACAAAAAGTAATTTTTACTCCTACTTAAATTATTTTTTTAAACAATTTAAAACGTTGCAAATAAAATAAAAAGATTTAAAAGTAATACCCTGTAAGTAATTATCTTTCGAGAAATTATGGTTACACTTGTTGAATTTGACACTTTATGTCAGTTTAATAATACATATATTTCGTACTTTTGTGCTTAGGCGTAAAAGTGCTTTATTATTATGCCTAGGCGTTAAAATGACTTTTTTATATTGCAATCATTTCGCAAAAATTGATACTTTTCTGACGTTTGAAAAAAAAAACATTTATTTATAAGTTTTATAATATGTCTAAGCAGAGGCGCAACTAGGGGAGGGGGGCCAGATGACCAGTGGGTCTCGTATGAAATTGGTTTCAACCTCACATCAATAGTGTCTTACAGTGACCTAAGCCCCTCCAAAAGACTTGAAACCTCCTAAAAGTATATGTCTAGTTGCGCCCCTGTGTCTAAGTAAATTTGGACGAAAGGAATATTAATCTGTTGGATTTTTTAAGCTGGCTGCTGTAGATAATTTTCTCAGTGAAAATACGTAAATAAAAGGACTTTTTAGGGAAAAAAAAATTCTTTGAAGGGGTTGTTCCAAAAAAGGACTGCCCTTTTCAAAAAAGGATAGGTGGCAACCCTACTTGTCACAGTTGTCACTCACAAATTTAGTATTCAAATTCAAACCTTGATTCAAACAATAAACACGGTCATTATGTAACTATAGGTAGTTTGTATACGGTGAAATTCAAATATTTACATATTTTGATATTTTTCTGAAACATAGAATCAAAATTTAGACCAAGAAAAACAATATTATTCATAGTACAATATTTTGCAATTAATTTTTGTTCTTATTCTTTTTAAATCCCTAAACATAAACAAAAATTACACTTATTGTTTATATTTTATTTATCATCGATTTCTCATTCAGTATAATCTGATCTTTTATGGCACATTATATTATATTAAAATTATTTATAGCATTTTTAGTAAAAGTATTTGCATTAAATCGCACAATTTTTTAAAATAAACCTTTAAAAATCTAGAGCGTTAACCTAAAATGTTAAATTAACTGGCTTCAAGAACACAAATTATAGGAGCAAAACAGTTCTGTAAACAGAACGGTCACGAGTAAATTAGCTAATTTTATGAATGACTTACATTTAAAACGGCCTGTTTCTGTGTTCCTCTCTATCTAAAAAATATCACAGACGATTAATTTGTGGAGTTATTTGTGTTTATAAAATAGAACCTTACAAAACTAAACAGTCTCTTTAACTCACAACCACTCGCGATAAACTGAAAACAGTGAACTCCGACGAAGGTTAGAGATGGGAAATCAGTGGAGGACACAATATACACTGCTCGACGTAAATAAACCTGATAAAGAATTATTTTTTCGGAATTGAGAGATCAAGGAATGATGTCTGACACGCTGATGCGACTGATGGTTGCTAGGCAACAATGGACCAAAATACACTGCGTTTAAAGAACAGTTTGTTCTGAATTCGGTCGCGCTTGCCTTGTATTGGGGTCTTTACTATTTTTATTATTACTATTTTTATTAGTTACTATTTACTATTATTTATTAGTTTATTTAATTTTTCGTTAAAATTTATTAGTTTGGTTTTGTTCAGATTTATTAAAATGGGGAATTAATAGTTATTTTTGTTTTTCAAGCCAGTGATATTAGTTTATCAAAAAATGACTTTATTATACAGGGTGTCCCAGAAATAAGTGCCAGTATTTTAAGGGGTGGTAAACAATGACATCGAAATAAATTAGACCCGGCGACTTACATTTTGGCGAAATCCATCATTGCCTTAGAAAATTGCATGCATGCCAAATTTCCACTACCGGCCGCATTTAAAATGAAATCTTACCTACGTATACGTATGGGGATAGCTAACCCACATTGTAAACCAGGAATTCCAAATATAAGTTACGTCGTAGAATACTTTAAACCGATAATAATTAAAGGTAGCCTAGTATCACGAACTACTCCCAATCAGCATTATCCGTTATTTAACTCTTCTGTAATTATAATTTTTAGATTTTAAGAAATTTAACATAAAACAATCGACAACGTCGCAACGCCAGCTGATACTGAAAACGTACGCATTTTACTATCTTTACTCCTAAATTCAGGCAGCCAACAAAACATTCAGTTCGAATTCGTTCATAAATTGGTTTACGGCGTTGCCAATGTGTTGTGGTTTTTCGAAATGTTTTATGAGGTGATTTCCAGATATTTTAGTGTTTTGTGGTATTATTTTTAGTGATTTTATTCAGAAACAATAAGACAATGGTGCGAGCTTGCTTAATTTGCAAAAATAGAGACGATTTAAACCTAGAAGTTTCATTTCGAAGGTGAGTAAGGCTATGTTACATCAGTGCGGTGCCGAAAGGTAAAATAGAGAAAAATCTTTGGAAATATGTATTAGTAAATCACACAATTTTTGGAATGTACCGTTATAAGTAATGAATTACATTAAGTTAGTTTCGTCACGTTTGGTTTTATTGAATATTTTGCTCATAATTTTAATTATTAAAACCAAGTATACAAATACCAAGTATACAAATGCGATTAATTTGTTGAAAAGATATATAAAAAAATTAAAGATGCCACAATTACGAAAAATGTTCATAAGCGAAATACCATATGATCGAGAAAAAAACGGCGTCAGCGATGGCTATGAAATGAAGATCGCTGTCATTTTATATGTAAAATTATATGGGGATGTCATCGATATTCATTTCTAAGCCAACTGGAATCATACTGATTGTTATTAGGATTTTAGTTGTTAAAGATGATTTTTAAGTGTAAAATCAAAATAGATTTATATAATGATTGAAAAAAAGTTAAGGGAAGAGTACGTTGGATATTACATACTAAATACCGAATGATCGAAAAAACGGTATCGAAGACTGCTGGGAATAACAATCGAATATAATTTGGCGAGGTCTATTTCTAGATGTCATTTATTAAAATTGACATAAAGCTTGTCAAAAACTAATACTAATTATAGAAAAATTATAAAAGGATAGAACGTTTCCAGAAACACAAACCGATATCCAAAAAAAAATTTCGAATTTATACTACACCATTTAAAAATCAAATACAACCTTAAGGCCTACTACTGCCAGTAAGTGCCATTAAAAAATAAACAAGAGTAGGGGTCATGACATATCACCTCGCCAAAATTATCACTGATTGTCATTTTTTACGCCGTTTTTTTTTTCGATGGTATAATGTTTGTGGTAATAGAGCAATTTATTTTTTGTTTTGTTTATTAATGCTATAAAAAATTATATAGTTTAAAAGATGAATGCATCTTTGTTTGATATGTTTTATAAAGCATTACTTATTTTTTGTTTGGTAATTTCTAATGAAAAGTTAATTATTTATTCAGTACAAGGTCCCGATTATCCGCGAAGAAACTGTTCCAGAAATAAGTAAATATTTTAGAAATTTTCTTTTGTTTAACAAAGATCTTTATTATTGTTGCTATATAGTAATATTTTTATACCTAATATAAAATTGTAATTAGTCACGACAGTTTTAAAATATTCTCATTTTCCACCGTTGCTTCAAGCAAAATAATAACCATTAATTCACATAAATGTTTTATAAAAGTCGTCGTCGGCTCGTATTCATTGAATGCTTGATGGATTATATTACTACTGGAGCAATTTACAGACTTTATACTATGGAAATGTGCATATCATAATATTTCAATTAGTTATTTTCAATTTATTGGAGTACAGAAGTAGTCATTTTCAAAATTTGAAGAGCCATCGAGCACAACAATATATCGTATCCAAAAATCATACCGTATGATCGAATAAAAACGGCGTCAACGATGGCTACGAAATGAAGATCGCTGTCATTTTATATGTAAAATTATATGGGAAATGTCATCGATCGTCATTTCCAAGCCAACTGGACGCCGCTTTTTTTCCCGGTATTTACGCGGATATAATATTAAATTATATATTACAATCAAAGTAACTACGCCCATGACACACTTTCTCAAGATCTCTGAACAGCGTTGCCATTCTCACGGGAATCCTTCATGACTGCGATCAGCCCGTCTTGTTCCCACTCGCATAGAGCAAGTAACGAATATCTGATTCTGATCTTTTCCTTTTTATGAATGAAATGCCGGGTCTACTTTATTTAGAGGTCATTGGTGGTAAACGTGGCCAAAAGAAACATATCTTCTCTTTACCAATTTGAACTTAGATAATTTATTATATTTAGATACATAATTTAAGTTAAGAAGCTCTTAACTCACGCATTTTGAGTGAGTTAAGAGCTTCTTAACGCATTTTCATTACCGCACTCCTTGTTTAGATAACTACCAAAGAGAAAAAAATATTTTGTAAAATATTTATTTTGCACTAAATATCTACTAAATACAAATAAACTGTTCTATTGATAATAATTATAAAAACATGAAAATTTATTTATTATAAATGTTAATGATACAGTTTGAACAATCTTTGAAGTAAATGGCTGATGAGGCATATACAGGTTGTTAATTTGTTTATTACTCGCGGCAAGAGCTTTATGGTTGAAATATGGCAACCTCGGCCCGTTCGTCGAGGGACAATGACTAAAGAATTCAAGGACAAATAACACCCGAGAGCAAATTGTTACCATGGCACCAAACAGTGCCGTGGCCATATTTTTTTCTTAACTTAGCTAGTTGAAGGGATATTTATATTTTTGATAAACGTTTTGACTACGCCTATGGTGTAGGCGATGGCATCATACTAATTAATTACGAAAAAAAACGTATTAAAATGTTAACAAAAGGTACAAAACTAGTACCGACGTATAGCACACATCAAGTACATATAATATCAGAAAAATATCGAATTATCGAATTCAATAAGAAAACTTAAGAAAACGCTAAAAAGGTGGAGTGGACTGTTTATTTACCTACGAAACGTAACTCCTGGCTCTTTCTTGGCACTGCTGCTTTTACATTTGAAAGCTGAACAACTAATCAGCATTGTAATAAAGTTTATACAATGTTCACTACACACGAACTATTAAAAATTGCTAAAATTGTCGCTGGTGACCAACTGATGACTCATTGTTTGCCACCAAAAAAAAAGGCGTCTAAGGTCACAAATTCTACTGCAGTCCGTATATGGGCGTTACATGTCCTTATATTCTTTAGTCATTGCCGAGGGAGGACGCGACGGCCGGCGACGCGAGGGGACGAGTCGGCAGCTTAGCTTAGTACTCATTTGGAATGTAGGCAGTGTTGCCATTCTGTTCCCCAATATGTAACCGTCCAATTAACAATCTGTATATTCATTTTAATAGATATCATAGTACTTATCATTGAATAGAAAGCCCAAAGAGACGAAGGCTTATAAGTAGCGGATAAACTGGAAAAATATGTTATGAGTACCTTTTCATTTCCATAGTTTTGTACTTTTTTGAGTATGTATATTCATACTTCTGTTTCGATTCTTGCTGGAAGCAATCTAGAAATGGCTCTGAATGTCAGAGGGAATACTTTCCGAATCGCTTATTTTTTAAACTAGTGACATCAATATTATTTACTGTTATATTGACATTGCCATGCATGGTGTTATTTGAACAAAGGTATTAAGGTAATTGTGTGGTTACACAACTCGTGCTACGCACTCGTTATGCAACTTTCACACGCGTGTCTTAATGATGCTGTTAACTCACTTGTATGGTTTGGTTTGGAATTTAAAAATGTAAACTAAGAACTTATAAATATACAGGATGTGAATAACGTAGAACGTGGCAACATTGCATTCTCTCGAAGCACTATAAACAAATTCCCGGAAACTGAACAAGCGGTACTTAAAAGTTTTCGAATATTTTCCGGAAAATGTCAAGAAAAATATAAAAATTTCAACATTTTTCTTTCGCAAAAAACCTCATGGGCGTGTTTCTGGGGTCGTTACCAGTTAAAATATTTGCACTTATTTCTGGGACACCCTTTATATTTTATTTTGTGCGTTATACAGTGTACGTTTGTGTGTGATGTTAGGAGAGCTTTATTTTTTTGAAACTTTTATTTTATTTGCCTTAAAACAGGAATATGTATAACAGACAAGATTAAAAACAAATGAAAATTTCTATAGCGAAACATTTTATTTAACACATTTTATATAACACCACCTTTGATTCAACTTCGGGCAGTATATTTCTATAGGCTGGAATACAAAATCATTTCCATCTATTGATTCTGCTTCAACACTTGTTTGCACCCTTGTTTACCAATTTCCTGGATACTTTTTTCATATTGACGGCTGTTGTTAATATTGACAGATTTTGATGAAAAACAGGTAGATCAGGTAATGGAAAACTAATGTTTTTATAGTCCTATGCGTTAGTATATTCTGTGGTTCTATGATTATTAATGATTGCGCTATACAGGGTGGAGCACCTCATTCGCCTCGGTTTATTATACGAAAACGGAAAGATGTAGAAACAAAATATTTTATGGGTATATGTGGTAAGGCAATGTGCATAATAATTTAAAATTATTTTGAAATGTACAGGGTGTGTCAGGTTATATTTTTTCTTATGGAATACTCGGTATTTTATTTCATTTTATATACAAAACACATATACATAAAATAAGGCATTTATTATAAGGGTTTAATATGTTTAAAAGCTTTGGTTTTTGACATATTTAAAGATATTTAAATATGCATGCTATAATAAAACAGTTTGTCACAACAGTTAACACCCTGTACATTACTTTTTCAGAACTAATTCTTGTGCTGACTTTCAAGCCAGAGAAATAAACTTTCCTAAAAAAATTGATTGCTTCCTTAAATGTATACAGGGGCATCAAAAATTGCTGGTCTATTATAAATATTTATTTTACATAAAAACTTTGTTATTTCAAATGCAACACTATGTGTTTTTTTACATAAGTCGAAGCAGATTTAAATGCTCCTTCAAACTATATTAGGATTTCCTATACCTATCTGGCTCAGATTTAGAATAAAAAGCGATTTTTCAATAAAATTGTAATCAAGATGACTGGTGTCGTCATGGCAATTTTCTAGTGACAATTAGTAGCTATTTTCAAAATCGAAATTAGTTTATGGACTTTATTTAAATTTATAACAGGTTATTTTTTATTTAATTTTCTTGTATTTATTATTTTATCAAGAGAAATAAAGCAGCATCTGCTAGCGGAAGGAATGGATATGTTGATACTACTGATTATATTTTGTGTATGTCTAGTGATTTTATTTTACAATTGCTTGTTGGCCAGAAAGGTTTATGCTCAAAGATATCCAAACAGGAATTTCTTGATAAGCTTTCCTTTGAACAACTACTTTTCCTATTTCGCAGAGTTGATAGTGTGGTATATGAAAAACCTATTAGACAGAAACATGTCGTTGGAAGTGAAGAAAATGAATTTGCCTTAATTGTTTTTTTATAGAAAATTCAATATATGTAAAATTCATCGTATTATAAATCTACTTCTTTATTTTTCTTAATAAAATAATAAATACTTGCTTATTAAACAATTATAGGTAAATTAAATAAAAGTAAACTGTTATAAATTTAAATAAAGTCCATAAACTAATGTCGATTTTGAAAATAGCTACCAACTGTCACTAGAAAATTGCCATGGCGACACTAGCCATCTTAATTGCCATTTTATTGAAAAATTGCTTTTTAATAAATAAAAAAACGTCGTTTTCGATCTTGAATATTTATTAAAAAAAATAATCATATATAGATCAATATCTATAATGATTACTGAAAAGAAAAATTACTAAGTTGTACTGTTACAGGAGTACCTACTTAATATGAGTATACACATTTAAAATATTTATTTTTAAACATATTATTTAACGTTTATACTCCTTCCCTTTTCATAACATTCAGTCTATAAAAATAATATAATCTTTGTCGTAACAATATAATTATGATCATCACAAAATTAGGTCAGTAGATTCTCCTAATAGATATTGGCTAATCAGGTTACTGCCTGTACTGGCCATTGTAATTGGGTTTTTCCTCTTCCTGTGGCCGTTTTCCTTGTGGATTTTCTCTGGCTTCCCTCTCGTCAGCTTCCTATAATTTAAAAATTATTGGAGATAAAAGATTGGAAAAATAAGGGTGAATAATAGCCCTAAATACTACGTTTTTTGTACATTGTTGAGGAAAGCCCAATAACTATATACCAGGTGCAACTCGGAGATAGAGATAGTGAGAATGAGCAATAACGTGTGTAGAAATTCTACTCATGTCATAATAGCTGCCATGTACGCGCTTATATGTATAGGGAGAGGTCAAAAAGTATTCATCATTATAAGTTTCTTGACGGTCATCTTTAGTTAATCTTAAAAATATTGCGTAATAATAATTAGACTATGTATAGTATACAATATAGTACATATTACAAATGAATAATGATCTTTTTTATCAAGACGAACAAATAGAAAATACTGTAAATTGTAACATAACTATCAACGACAATTAATAGTTATTTTTTATACAAGACGATAAAATGGTATTTTATCGTCGAGCGAAAAGATTAATAATTCACAAGCGATGAAATCCCGAGTGAATTAATTTCGGGAGACGATAATGCAATTTTATCGTCGTGTATAAAACAATATTTTTTCCATAGCGAGTTACGTTTTAAAAAATATTCAGAAATTATTATTTGAAGGAATTTATTACGAGTAGAAAAAAATATTGTGCTGTGTTGGCGTTGGTTTCTATGTAATTTGACAAATAAAGTTGTCTCTTTAGTTGTCAGATTTCAGTCAATATTTTTTAATTCTCTTTCGTATCGATTGCTGATTGAATTGGAGTCAGAAATGGCTCAAAACGAAATAAGTAAATTACCAACAGATATTCAGGCTGAGGCGACAAACGCCATATCCAAACTACTTCCATTTGAATCCCGAATAACTTATGAAAAGGAATACAAGAATTTTCAAAAATGGAAGCAATTAAAAAACGTGCGAGAGAAAATAAAGTTTTTAACCTATAGCGAGGATAGGTTAAAGTATCATTTAATCTACCCTAGCGGTTAAAGTACTATTTTATCTACTATTTTTGATAGATATAAGGCAATTTTAACGGTTGCTATGGAAAAAAGTCAATTTTTATCATACTTCAGCGCACTATAGGGCATGTGCAAATGTGTATATTTTATTATATTTCGTTTTTTGAAAGTTCACAATTAAGGATTTCTTATTTGTTATTTTATTTTATTTTTTTCTTTGAGCTCACCATTATTCTGAACATTTTAAACTGCAACGAGTCATGATTAAAATACTAAACAGCTACTAAAATTGACTAAACTAACCTACTTACTAATTATTAAATTACTACACATAAAACGCTAAAAACACATACATACATTTAATACTAAAAAAGTTTAAACTAAACCTTAATTCGCAACCTCAAAATTAGTGGAATAAATTAGTGATTTCAATTTACATTTTGTACTTAAAAAATTACGATCATTAATTGATCACTCACAATGTCTAAAAAATTCTATTAAAATAAATAAAATAACCTAGCGACACCTTCCGGTAGCCAGATGAGGAATCCTAATAAAATATTATATTTATATATATTATAAGTCTTTTATATCTATGGCCAACTATGGCCTAATAATTAGAGCTTATAAAACAATAAACTTTTATTTTTAACCACAATCACAAAACATCCCCCTTTAGAACTTTTTCTTTAATGACCATAAGTGGGAGTAAAAGACCAACCGCCCGAACAAACACTAGAGGCGCCACCGGTCATCAAATGGTGTAAAAATTGCGAGAATTTAATCATCTAATTTTGACACAAGTGGTCGCGCTTAACTTTTTTAATTTTATTTGAATATTCATTGTTCGCAAACTATATTATTAGACTTTCTTGTATTTTGTGAGTGTATAAATGTTTTCTTAGTATAAAGTTGCATTATATTAATTTAAATGATATCACATACATATTTAAAATTCAAACATTATGACATATATGTCAGTTGCCGTCTAAATGTCATCTTGACAACAAAAAGTTATTTATTGTCAGAAATAGTTAAAATCATGTTAAAATATTAAAATTTACACGTTATAATTAGATATTTTCATAATGGTACAGCGTAATATTGATATGCAGGTCCAAAACAAAAAGTGCCGTTATATTTTTCAGTTTTTGTTGTCAGCCGCGGAAGTTTCAGTGATTTTAGTGTTATCGGATATTTTTATCTGTGAAATAGAAATATTGCGTTGGATAAAACTAAAAGTGGAAGTTTTATTGCAATCTAAGTAAGCGTTTGTCCATTTTATATTTTACTTTTTTCATACTTACGACAAATATACATATTATATTGAAATTTAACAATTCGTTTTATTTAAAAAATATTAGAAAACAAGCTTGTAATCAGGTAATTCACATAATTGTAATGTAATATATTCCATTTAAATGTAATATATTACTTTACAATTAAAAAAATTTAAATTTAAAAAATATATTAAAAATATATACGGCATTAATTGAAATTTTTAGAGTGCGAACAAACACGAGAGGCGCTTTATTATTTACTTTCATTTCTTAACATGACAGATGAAGTTCTAAAGGGGGATGTTTTGTGGTTGCACGTATTTCCAAAATAATCCCAATTTTATACGGTTTAGAAAGTACAAATTATACATTGTTATGGAAACCAACTTTTCGTTGTCATCATATTGTCATAATCATATGTCATAATCTTATATCCATTGTGTAACGACGCTGGTTTTTTGCTTTTTTATGTTAAAAATTGTATTAATTACTCTTTTATCGACCGCTTTTAGATAGCCAAGGATGCAAGTGTGTTCAGTGAGAAGTTAATTTTAAGTTTGTGCAACTATATTTCTATTTTTTTTTCTTTTGACTTTCTAAATACTCGTAAAAATGACTAGAAAGTGTTTAGTGTGTGAAAGTTCTAATATAAAGGTTCCCGAATTATCTTTTCATAGGCAAGTAAAGTTTTCAGTTGTTCTTTTATTTATATTAAGCCACATGCATACTTTCTGGTTAGATTTCCTAAGAATATTGATATTCGTACGGTGTGCCTAAATGTATGTTTTTTTATATAATTTAATTTTTGTGACAGTAAACATTCAATTTGTTGTTCAAATATAAGCATTTTACAAATTAAATTTTTAAAATTAATGTTCAAATTTGGCGCGCGGACGATAGGTCCTCGACAAGGATAGATAGAGTACATGCCCTAGACACTCAATGGTAATTTTATAGAACTACAAATTTAGTTTCTTCCGCATCGCCAGACGGCGCAAAAGATATTAAAGTACAGGTTTCTAATTTATACCTATATGAAGATGACATGACAGTCTAGTATGGTCTAGTTTTTGTCTAGTTGATACTTAGTTGATAAAATGCATAGATAAAAGAAAATAATCTACTATTAAGATAGATATGAAGCTTAATAGTAAAATTTTGGGCCAAAGCGCCCCTCCGTGTTTTTAGTGGAGACTACGTTTAACCCAGCGCCTTCGCCTTTTCTGCTGTAAATGTTTTTTATGTTTATATTTGAATTCAAAGGATTTTTTTTAAAGTTACACTGATATATTAGTATATCAGAGTAACTTTAATAAAACATAAGAATATAGTGCTGTGTTGGCGTTGGTTTCTATGTAATTTGACAAATAAAGTTGTCTCTTTAGTTGTCAGATTTGCGTCAATATTTTTTAATTCTCTTTCGTGTCGATTGCTGATTGAATTGGAGCGAGAAATGGCTCAAAACGAAATAAGTAAATTACCAACAGATATTCAGGCTGAGGCGACAAACGCCATATCTAAACTACTTCCATTTAAATCCCGAATAACTTATGAAAAGGAATACAAAAATTTAAAAAATGGAAGCAATTAAAAAACGTGCTAGATGAAATATAGTTTTTAACCTATCCTCGCTGTTAAAGTATCATTTAATCTACCGTTGCGGTTAAAGTACTATTTTATCTACTATTTTTGATAGATATAAGGCAATTTTAACGGTTGCTATGGAAAAAGTCAATTTTATCATACTTCAAGCGCACTATAGGGCATGTGCAAATGTGTATATTTTATTATATTTCGTGCTTTTGAAAGTTCACAATTAAGGATTTCTTATTTGTTATTTTATTTTATTTTTTTCTTTGAGCTCACCATTATTCTGAACATTTTAAACTGCAACGAGTCATGATTAAAATACTAAACAGCTACTAAAATTGACTAAATCCAACATACTTACTAATTATTAAATTACTACACATAAAACCGCTAAAAACACATACATACATTTAATACCTAAAAAGTTTGTCGCTAAACCTTAATTCGCAACCTCAAAATTAAGTGGAATAAATTAGTGATTTCAATTTACATTTTGTACTTAAAAAAAATTACGATCATTAATTGATCACTCACCAGTGTCTAAAAAAATTCTATTAAAATAAATAAAATAACCTAGCGACACCTTCCCCGTAGCCAGATGAGGGAATCTAATAAAATATTATATTTATATATATTATAAGTCTTTTGCCTATCTATGGCCAACTATGGCCTAATAATTAGAAGCTTATAAAACAATAAACTTTTATTTTAACCACAATCACAAAACATCCCCCTTTAGAACTTTTTCTTTAATGGCCATAAGTGGGAGTAAAAGACCAACCGCCCGAACAAACACTAGAGGCGCCACCGGTCATCAAATGGTGTAAAAATTGCGAAAATATAATCATCTAATTTTGACACAAGGGGTCACGCTTAATTTTTTTAATTTTATTTCAATATTCATTGTTTTCAAACTATATTATTAGACTTTGTTGTATTTTGTCAGTGTATAAATGTTTTCTTAGTATAAAGTTGCATTATATTAATTTAAATGATATCACATACATATTTAAAATTCAAACATTATGACATATATGTCAGTTGCCGTCTAAATGTCATCTTGACAACAAAAAGTTAGCATAGATAAATGAAACAAGTTTAGATTGGAAAGTGCCCATAAGGACAATGTAAACACTATTTGGCGCTATTCTTGCAACGGTCGCGACCCAAAACTTTTGAAAATTTCG